TGTAAAATATTTGGGCTCCTTACTTCGCCTATTTATATTCTATTAATAAAGGACAGAAGGATGAGTATTGCAACTATGTTAAAAGAAATAAATTGGCTTTCAGTTCAGAATTATGTTCAGTACATGACTAATATTTATAAAATAAAAATGACATAAATCCATCGCATCAGATCTATTAGAAAAAATTCAATATAATTCATAATATTACAACTATAATACAAGAAGTCAATCTGACTTTCATGCACGGCAAGCCATCACTAAAAGTTCCCCAAATACAATTTTTATTAAAGGTTTAAAAAATTTATTAGACTGCCTACAGAAATTAAAAAAAAAACAACAATAAATGTATTCACAAGTAACCTCAAACAATACTTGATAAATAAACAGAACGGATATACTTTCTTGTGATAATACTCTTTAAACCTGCCCTTTTTAAGTATTTTCCTTAATTTATTGTTATTTTACCCTCGTTTTACCTCGTTTTACTACTTACTATGTTTAAATTATTAATATTTTTGCGACGATACGTTATAGCAACTTATAGCCACAAAACTATTTTTGTGTTAAAGTAGATCCATGTAATTTAAAAAGGACTTCATTCAACATACAAATAAATGACAATTTTATAATTAAAATAAAAAACACAACAAAATACCTCGATAGGAAGGGCCTTAGTAATTTAAGTTGCCCTATCCACTTTGAGAATAGTCTTAAACATAGACGCAAGAAAAAAAACTGAATTTCACCAGGTGCTCGGGCCTCATTAAGCAAAGAAAATAAATCGGTATTTTAAAATTTTAGCAGATAAAACAGTAGTTTCCTGTCCCAATACAACGGTTTTTTTGAAGTAATGCTATGCATGAGCAGGACACGAACATATATAATAATAAGATAAATTAATAGAAAAATTGGTTTTGAGTATTTTCGAAGTAAACTTAGCAAAAAATGTTTAAATTTACCAAATAAAAAGTTACTTTTTTGTGTATTTAATTTTTTTAAATAAATAATTTGTTTCACATAATAAGAAAAGAGATCGCAAGAGAACTACCACGCCCAGAAAGTAAAATTTTTAGTTTATATTTTTTACTTATTTGTGGCCAGGTCATGGATTTTGTCACAAAATACCTATAATTTATGAGAAACATATTTTTTTACTATTATTTACCTTAAACCTTCATAATTGTAAACGAATATATTACAAAATAACCAATAAAGCTAAAGTAACTTCATAAAATCTAAAATTGGCAAAATATCGAATTTTATACACTATCTTCCATTTAATGCTTATATTTCTATGTCCCACGTGACGTCACCGTCAGTCAGTTGCATGCGCAGGAACATACCGTTAGTCTGTGTATCGTGATCTTATGTTTTTGCCTCAGATAAAACAAATGAATAGATAACTAACGGTCTGAATTTGTTTGAAGCTAGTATAAACTTTTTTCTATTACTTTCTGTTTCTCCTGGGTCTTTTATGTGATTCGTCTATTTTAAATATCAACGTCAAATTTTTCTCAGAACTGTCAACAAGCAATTGGAAACTGTTAGTTTTGTTTGTACATTTTGTGTCATTTTGTATTCCCAGGGCATATTTTTAAAGTTTTTAGAGTTTCTAGAAGGTGTTTTTTAACAAACTTTGTTAGTTGTAAGTCTAAAAATTACTATTTGCTTCAGCGTATAATAATAACTATATTACTTTTTGCAACACAGACCGTAGAAATATTATATTATTTTACTGGTACAAAAATTAATGTTCATTATTGTACTAGTAAAATAATAATGAGAAACGCTTGCATGGGGAGCTGTAATAGAGTAGGTAGGAACTGTCGTTTGTCTGTTTTGAAAATTTTGTTGCAAACTGTCTCAATAATTGCAATGTTTGCCTCCGGAATTAGTAGAAATAGCTAATTCCAGTATTGAAACACTAATTCCAACGAAGTCGCGCAAAGTATATTATTTTGCATATAAATTTTTTTTAAAATAGACCATAGAGACTAATGTTCAAAAGTATACGAAAAATGTTATGATTGGTTACTTCACGCATTTGTCAAAAAATACAAAAGTTCAACACAATGGGCACAATATTCAATAGTTAAGACTGAATTAAATATCAAACATAGTGTGAATATGAATAATTATACCATATTAACTGCATTTTTAAAGCGACAAGGGAAAAATGATAGACCGAAAAATCAAAAATACTTTATTATTTGTTTTATTTATTATTATATTTATTAAATCGTTCACAATAATATCCTTTAAAATACTAATTTTAACTTGACAACAATTACGAACATAAAATACAAATTCCGCGATAGCTCAGCGGCAGAGGATCTGTCTTCGACCCCAAAGGTCGGCGCGGCGGTTCGAATCTAAGCGCAGACTTCTTATTTATTCTACGTTTGTTTTTAGGTTGTACTAATATTTGAAGTCACAGGTGCCTGTAGATTCAATGAACTCGTTAATTTGAAGTATAGCGACAACCAAGACTTGAAAAATTTTATTTTAGTAAATATCTCAAATACAAAAAACAAAAAACCACGGTCGTTCACTATACTTGGTGATTTTTATTTGAATTTGATCAAACAGTATACTGCACTTCATCCGAAGGATATGAACCTGGAGCGATTTTTTATTAAATACCAGGGGCTCGATTCTCGAGTTCATTGGAAAATTTTCACATGGGAAAAGATTTAACTATTTATATTCCCATGGTAATAGGTTATGCAATTCTCGAAAATTTACTGTTGGCATTATTTGTGGTTTTTGGGTAACCGATTACCTGCCGAGCCTCCGCGCGGGAGCATGTGCCGTGCCGAGCAATCGCTAGATTACCGAGGAACAAGTAGTCCAGGGCATTTAGATCAAAATCACCCGAATAGCGGAACTTTGCTCATACACCCGATATTGAGATGCGGTTTTCTGCATTGTGTTCAGGAAGCTCCAGGGAAAAAATTTACATGGTCTAATTTTCTCCATTTTTTAAAAAATGCCTTCTGGGCCGGAAGATGCATTTTCCAATTGCATCATAACTTGCACCATTATAGGAACGACTGGAAACTCAGAAAAATCGCTCGGAAATCATTATTCGGGGGTTTTTAGGGCTGCCAAACTCCATTCTGGCATTATATTTACCCGGGGGTGCACAGGGGTGGCTCTGTGGGGGTGCGCGAGGGGTGAATTGGGAGAGAAATGGCAGCGTGCATGAAAGTCGCTCCAAACTCGTTACTCGGAGGTTTTCGGGGATGCCCAATTCAATTCCAGCATTGTATTTCCCCGAGAGCGCTCGGGGGTCCCTCTGTGTATTTGGCTGGGGGTCATTCTGGGGGGGGGGATTGACTCGTCCATGAAAATCGCTTTAGACTCATTTTAGGGGGTGCCAAATTCATTTATAGCCTTAGATTCCCTCGAGGGCGCTCTGGGGTCCCCATGTGGGGTTGTCTTGTGGGGGGGGGGGGGGGCAGCGTCCATGAAAATCGCTCCAAAATCGTTACTCGGAGGGTTTTCTGGGATGCCGAATTCATTTCCAGCGGTAGATTTCCCCGGGGGCGCTCGATGGCCCCGCTGTGGGAAATGGTAAAGGAGCACGGAAAAAAAATTGTAGAACAAATTTCTACAATTGTAGATTTTTTCTCTACAATAAATAGTACATATAGGGACAGGGACAATTTGTAGTAAAAATTTCCAAATATTTGTGGAGAATGTATTGTAGAGTTATTATCTACAATATTTAGTAAAAAGATCCAAATGCATCATAAGAATTGTTCTACAAATTGTTATAATTTTTGCTAGTCATTGTATGAATTTATATTAAAAATGTATTGCGTTTTATGAAAATAAATACGAAAATTTTACACAATAAATAGTAAAAATTCATACAAATTGTAGTAATTTTTAATAAAATTTGTAGTAGTATTCCATAATTATTATAATTATAACCTAGAAAAAAATGTTCCTTAATAAAATATTCAATTTATTGTTTTAATATAAAAGATACAAATTCTTAATTACATTATGTAATAAATAACAGTAATAATAGCGCCCTCAGTCTCAGTTAGCTTTTCTGCACCTGAAAAATATGAAATAAAAATTAATACCAATTGAATTGTTCATACCCTTAAAACGGGGATATTTATCACCTTTACACTGATTTGGATATTAAATGACTAAGTCAGATAACTAACAAAAATGAGAAAGTAGGTATGTCACAATTAAGACAAAAAAAACATCATTGAACTTGGCACAATTTTTTAAAATAATCTACTAAGGTTATTTAAACTAGTTATCTAAAGGTAAATTATTCAGAAACAATAATAAATGTACTTACCACCAAAGGAATTTATTATTAAAATTTTCTCAAACTCATCGGTACTTATAATATATTAATGTGTTATAGGTACTCGTAATATGTACCATGCTTTGTTATGTGAACATGGCGAACGGCTACTGCTGTCTGGCCGTTTATGATCGACGTCAGAAAACGTTGGCCAATAGCAGAATTCTGTTTTGTTCACATAATTTAGAATTTTTACAATATTATAGAATATTTTTGAAGAAGGAATGTAAAGTATTACTATTGTTTGTAGAGAAAATTACTATTTTTTGTAGAGATAATTATTAATATTTGTACAAATTTTTACAGAAGTTAGTAGTAGTAATTACGATAATTGTAATACATTTCTACTTCTACAAACAATAGTAAGATATACTAAACATTGTGGACTTCTTTCCTATTGTTGTAGCATTTTACTCGACAATTCAATTGCTACAATAATTTATAGTTTTTAACTATAAATTGTAGTAAAATTTTCTACAAATTGTTAAGTATTTTTCTACAAGTCTACTACTACAACATTGTAGTAAAATTTTCTAGTCACATTTTTTTCCGTGAGAAAGTGAAAAATCACAAATTATGAAAATAATACTTTATTCAAATAACAAATAGGAGTTTTTATTAATGTTGAATTATTCATTATCAACTTCAATTTTTAACTTAAATACTAAACATGTTGTTCAAACTCTTCTTCCCCTTCTATATCTTCTCCCCCTCCCTCATCTTCTTCTTCGTCAGTATCCTTGGCCCCGTTGGAGGTGCCTTTTTGGTTTGAACAATTAATGCCATCGCAATGCTTGCATGCAAGTGAGCACTCCAACCCCTTTCGGCGGCACCCGCACCTCGTGCCACAGTCGGTTTGACAAGAACAAGAAATGTTGTCACCTTCGTGCACTCCCGGGTATTTCCAATGCCAGAATTGAATTAGGCATCCCCAAAAACCCGTAACGAGTTTGGAGCGACTTTCATGCACGCTGCCATTTCTTCCCCAATTCACCTCCCGCGCACCCCCACAGAGCCACCCCCGGGTAATTATAATGCCAGAATAGAGTTCGGCAGCCCCTAAAACCCCTGAATAATAATTTCTAAACGATTTTTCCAAGTTTCCAGTCGTTCCTATAATAGTGCAAGTTATGATGCAATTGGAAAATGTATTTTCCGACCCAGAGGACATTTTTCCAAAAACGCGCCAAACCAAACCATGTAAACTTTTTTCCCTGGACCTTCCTGAATACAATGCAGAAAACCGCATCTCGATATCTGGTTTATGAGCAAAGTTCCGCTATATTTCCTAACGTCCCTGGACTAAAGTGAAAATATTCGATTTTGTATAGTTAAAACTTGTCGAGTTATTCTTAGTTTTCCTTTTCACATGTTGAAAAAAGAAAAAGTAGCTTTTTTATGGAAGAGCAACGAAAGTTTCGAGAAACTAAGAAATTCTTTCGTTAACGGAAATAATAACATTTTCGAAAAGGTCTTAATAAATTTACTACAAATTTTTCAATTTGTGTTATTTGCCAGTCCCTTAGCAGCTCCCACAATTTCTATCTGATTTAAGAAAATCAGTTCATACAGTTTCTTAGTGAAAGAGAAGTAAAAATAATATACCAACATAAATAAAATAATATCAATCTATAAATACGCCAAAAAAAATGTTTTACCTACAATTTTACCAAAAATCCAAGATAACCAATAATCTTTGGTTATGTCTTGATTTTTGGTCAAATTTTCGACTTTAATGCGCAAACTCTAGTACAATTCTCATTGGAAAACACAATTTCCAATGGTCGTAAGCAGAGGAATATTTTCCCATACTTCTCATTGGAAAATATTCCACCGCTTATGTCGAGAATACGAAAAATAAATTCCCATGGGAAAATTTTATTTTCCCATGAGAATAAAAGTCGAGAATCGACCCCTAGAACGGTAAATGTCACCACGTGGTAATGGGTATAAATAAAATTTCAAACGTACCAAATGACGTCGCTACGTTTTTGAAAATACCAAATTCTCATGAATATACCGGACATTGCCTTCGGAGGACTTCCGCAACTATTTTAGTTGACAACGGTGGGGGCATTACCGCATTAAAACGACACGGTGGATGGAAATCCACCAGTGTTGCTGAAGCTTACAGAGATGATTCTATTTTCGGTAAGAAACAAACGGCAAAAAAATACTTCACTGGCAAGATCAACCAAGTACAAGTTCTGAAATTCAGAAAACCTTTCTAATGAAAATATTTCTTACATAATAAATGTCGACAGACACCTTACTAATCATAACATGTATACCAATGACAAAATTGTGAATGTCGAGCTGAAAGCGGTTGCAGTGGCCCAAATATAAATAACTGCAGTATACAAAACTGCACCTTTAATATTACTATTAATAAATAGGAATAGGTAATACCTACTTATGTATTATTTAATTATTGTGTTAATAAATAGTTGAGACAAACAATGCTTTTTATGTTTTGCTACGTATAACTTGAATTATCTTTGTGCTTGAAGAAAAAATAATATATATTAGTCGGAGAAGAAGGCTTCATTATTATGTGTTTCGCTCAGATTACACTGTCTCGGCTAGCGCCTCGGCATTAAATTTCTGAGCTCATCACATAATAAGCGCCTTCTACTCCTAGATATATAATATACTATTCAATGTTTGTTGCTCTAAAACATACATTTGGAGAAGTTCCACGTCATTTTAAAGGGAAGTAAATAAGAAGCACGTATATTGTAGAATATTATTAGTAATTTTTTACGCAAGTTTCATACAAACTTTGAAGCAATTGAAATTTGGACACAAAACCTAGAATTATGAACAGTTGAAGTTGTTAAAATTAACAAAATCACTAAAATATATTGGAAACATTTTATATATTTTGATTCTGTAAATCAATTCTTCTGGAAAAGAATTTAAAGCCAGAAGCAATTCAGAAGCAATTCTTATTGCATTCAATTCTCAACGGTCCGTCTTTAAGTAATAATATTATGCAATACCTATCCTCAAACAAATCATTCGTACATTTTAAACTTAGTAATTTAATTTAAAAAATGAATGCTATATTGTATCCTCCTTAACAAAGTAAAATAAATCTTCCTGGAAAAAAGCATTTTATGAAAATATAAACTACTCCAAAGAGTTTCTTCTATCTTCTTAAAATTAGCAATGAAATATATTATACTTATAAAATGATTATATTGCAAATATTTTATAATTCTTTTTAGAGAAAATTTACTTCCTACTAAATCTAGTGAAAGACAGAGTTTAGAAGAAATTTCTAATTATAATTTGCAAATACTGGATCAGAAAATTCAAGTTTTTCCACCGACATTGCTGCAATGCGGCACAATTAAAAAGCAAAATAAAACATTTTTCTACATTCTTTGATCCTCCTTAGTTCCATCATTAAGTATTTTAATGTTTTTCTATTTCTCTTACCAAAAATATCACCCAAATATCATCACATCGAATGGCATGTGGCAGCTGTCAAAGTCACTGCACTATTCTCATTCCGATCGTTTACGTTCACTCACTTTCTTATTATTTATATTGATAAACAAGGTCACAAGTATACTTCGTGCATACTGCCACTTCCAGAGAAAAAGTTATAGCGATTTCCATTGGAATATTTAGTGTGATCTGAGTGTATTCTTATTTTCTTCTTTTCCGATTATAAACAAACATTTGTAAACTTATTATAAATTTTCCATACACATACGAAATAAGTTTTATTTGCAAGCCGAAAATAAACTTGCAGGAAATGTTTGTAAGTTTCTATGTTTAGTGGGTATTTCAAATAAAATTAGGGTCCAAGATGGGAGGCTATGTCGCAACTCCCTTAGATTTAGGAGCTCTTCCTACCGTCAGCTATTAGTGAATGTCAACGAAATGTCACGAAAAATATCACTAAAAATCGTTTAAGAATCAACTTCATTCTTCAACGATTTTGCTTGCAAGAATATGACATTTTTACACCAAAATCGAGAAAAATATTATCTGTGTTTTTATTGAAATAGTTCTTTATATAATGCTGTTAGCCTCTATTTCATCATTTCATATACCGCCATTGTGTAATGTGTTTTTACATTACTCTTGTTTTAGTGATGAATCTTGGCAAGGTACAAAAAAACTAAAATACGTTGCCAAGTGTCAATGCTTTTGTCAGATAATTCTTCTTCTTCAGAGCATCACTCTTTCGAATTTCGATGCAAACGAATTTCATCTACCAAGATAGAAATTCAAATTTAGAACACACTAGGCTTCACCATCGTGGATCCTTCTCACTTGTTTTATACTGGATGCTAATTCTAAAACATAGCTATTCTAATTTTCTATTATCATGTTTTATCCCATAATTATGGCTTACTTTTAAATTTTTTACACTTACCCTTTAATCGTTACCACCACACTTTATTATCTCTTTTAACCTCTTTATCATCTGTTTCCACTTATTCCTTCTTATACTCCCACTTATTTTTTGTTATATTTAACAATAAGGTACGTGTTTAAAAATCCTTTAACTGTGCCACTGTCATGAAATGAGATTTTCTCATTTTCTTAACCTCCAGAATTTTACGGTGGATGATCAACGTAAATATTTTATATTTGGTGCCGAGAATTAAAGAGAGTTTGTGACAGTTTCCCTTTCTTGAGGAAGGGACAGTGTCATATATTTTTAATTAGAATTTTCTATAATTTGCTAATATGACTAGTTACAATATATTAAATTGCATACTAGAAATATACCCAATAACCAGATGTACGTAAAAAAACGTTGAAAACTGGTTAATAACATTCTGTTGAAAATTACTAGAAAAAAACATTAGAATATAGTATTTTATATAAGCATATGTAAGCGTAAGTTATAAGTTGAGAGAAGTTTTCCTAGCTTGAATTACTTTGCTTTGAGACGTAAAACTTGCCTTGTTACCAAGGATCGTCCAAAGCGCAGGCTGTACTCAATGTTCATAGTGGACGTAACATACATTTCTTCATGCATCAGAGAGATTTAATTGTTATTTGGTTTAGATATTTTGATTAGTATCGATTAATTTTTCTTTATTATAGCTATTTTGAGTAGTATCTATTATATTTTCAAGTTATAGTTTTAGTTAAGCTAGATTATGTGTTTCAGAGAATAACTCCTCTGAAACATTATATTCATTGTATAAAGGGGTTGATAATTAAAATAAAGTTTGTTATTTAGAATCATCTTATTTTCCACGTTTAATTTTATTCTAAAGTAACCCGAAGTGAGGATACTATTACAATATTTTTAATAGGTTCTTATTATAGTTCTAAATAAAAATCATCACTTTTTCCGTCTATTTAACACTTACAAATATATGCATATTTTAAGTTGTAAGGATCCGTAGCCTCTTAATTTTTTACATTAGATACAAGACCTGTGATGTCACAATAAATCGTGAATATGAGGTAAAGGATTTGGAAGTTGTCTTTCAGACTAATTTGAAGTTCAATAACCATTTCTTACACATAACTAAAAAAACAATAAAAGCTTTGGGTTTTTAAATCAGAAATACAAAAGATTTTAGAATTACCACCAAAATCAGATTATATAGTGCCTTAGTAAGACCCCATCTTAAGTATGTTTCACAAATATGGATGCCCTTGGAAGCCACACATATTGATCATATTGAAAAAGTACAAAAACTATTTTTAAGGTACCTTTATGTCATAAAAAATACTCGTACCCTTATAAGATCTCATATAAAACTATGCTCGATAGCTATAAGATTAAATCTCTTTTACATAGAAGAAAACAACAGGTTGTGATATATTTTGTACCCTATTTTAAATAATGTTGAGTACAAAGATTGTGATTTGATTGACTATATAAATTTTAATGTGGCAAAGATTAATCTAAGAATCCCAAGTAACAAAAAAATTATTTAGTTTAGATCCAAGTAGTATATCTCCTTTTAACAAGATGCTGGCTGTTAACAATGAGTTTCTTAGCGAGGTCTAAATAGATATCTTTAATGTTAGCCTAAGAAAGTTGAGGACTGTACTAAATTAAGTTCACTAGATATAAAGGTTTGTTTTGTTTTTGTTTTTAAATTTCTTGTTACTTAACTCTACATGTAACTACTTTTAATTTTTTTATATTATCCAATAAATAAATTTTACCTGGCTGCTTTTAAA